ACGTTTAAAAAAATACCATATTCCTTACTGAAACCTCGATAGATTTTCCTACACCGTTATTCTTCTCCTCCTCTCCTTCTCTCTCTAGATCACTTTCTCTCGCTCTCTCTAAACTCTTGGATGGTGGAAGAATTGAAGTGATGAGAAAATGGGAGGAAGGACCCTTATTTATAGAAATTGGGGGCCGTCAGATTTGCGCCAAGTGGCAAAATCTGATGAGGAGAGAGAGTATTAAAAATGGGAGAGATGCTTGATTTAATGCGACATAAAAAATAGAGAAGAATCCTCCTCCACTGGTGGCAACATACCCTAAGTAGCGGCAGGCGGCGGTAGTGTTCCTCACCCGTCCAGCGTGCGCTGCAGGCCTAGCTTGCAAGCGTCGGGCTACCCTGCCACACGTAGGCCTATTCTCACAGGCTTGCTGCGTGGATGGCGCGCGCACAATGTGCAGCGCTAGCCCTTTCTGTGCACGCAGGTCTGGCCTTGTGCCTCATACAGATGGGATGTGCACACTGTGCATACATCTTGTGCCTGTCGCGTGTGTGCAGGCAATCCTTCTTCCGCAGGTGTTTTCCTGCAGGATTTTCCCCCTTTTTTTTTCTCCTAAAAGTAAGTTAATTAAAACCTAATAATAAAATAATAAATCAAAACAAAATTAAGTAAAATAAAATAAAATAAAATATTAAAATGGGCAAAATTCACGATTTATGATATAAAGCTACGAAATAAAATTAAATGAGTTCAGTGTAGCCATATGAACCAAATAAATTGGGTTTTTCAAATATAATTTAGCACGGTGGTGAGCGGGGTGTTACATAGTTGGTGTCACCATGACACCAAACTCGTCATGATAGAAAACTCTTCATTGGGTAATCAATCTTGTAGGGTCCTATGACTTTTAGGGACAATCCTTCATAAAATGTTGTGTATTCCCACACTTGTAATAGGCATTATTCAGTCGGTAACAAGGTCAATTACTATGACTTCACCCGCAATGTTGGCATGTTTAGGCATGCTGAACAAGGTTGCTAGGAGGTAGGGGTAGGGTAGTAGCAGGAGCTATTATGGGCCAATTGCTAATACGATTTGGTCCAATCATCTTTCTCTTTTGTTGTTGTTGTGCTCAGACATGACTAATGTGCCGATACCAGACTACAAGGAGTTCTTCGTCCAACTAGGCATAGTCAAGGACCTCAGCATAGGTATTTGGCTTTAACAAAGCCACTTGGTCAAAGATATCTACCCTAAATCCCTTCAAAAATGTTTGAGCCTTCTGGCTCTCAGTGGCTACAATCTTAGTGGCAAACCAGGATAACTGGACAAACTAGGTAGCATACTGTCTAACAGTCATAATTGCCTAACGTAAGTCTTGGCATTCTTTTTCTTTCTTCTCTCGAACATAGACTGAGAAGAAGTTTATGACATCCCAAATGTTAATCAAGGCATGTGGGTGTTAGATGCAGAAATAAAATTACGAGTGCATGATAAAAATTATATGAAGCAGAGAAAATTAATACAAATTCCTTATAAATATATGAGTTCCTATTACATATATATAACTAAGGCCAGAAGTGGGTGCAAAATACAGTGTCAAAATACAAAAGAGGACCACCTTTTTCACTATGTTATTGGAATCATCAAAGTGCAGGAATGATCATGCACTCAAGTTTTGTGGATCCATAGGATCCTCATAAAGTTCAATGGGTAGGTCAGCTAGTGGTTCCTCATTCTCCTCTTCATCTGGGGGGGCATGAAATGAGTGAGTTCCATATGCTCAGTAAGAAAAATAGTATTTAAATAACATCGTAAGGTTTTAAAGGTGAATTTTTCTAACATAAATACTTACCATTTGGTTACTTTGTAGACCTATCTTACCTTTTAAAAATAATTTATTTATTAGAGAAAACATCATGTTAATATAATCAAGACAAACATATAGCATACCAGATAATAGAGAAAATCAAATAAATCATGAAATGCTCATATTTTTGTGTCATACTTCACGAAGTCGTTACGACTTCCATCTCTAAAAGTAGATACAGATTTTTGACTATCTATGTGTAATTACCAGATCAGATACAAATAATGATAATTTGTTCAGATACATTTCTGGCTTGCCAAACCACGGTCGTACCCACCATAATGGTCCTATCATATATTCTATGGCCATGAAAGTACTTAGCCAAATGTGACCCCTAATAGATATTCGTGTCACCACTCTCATCAGAGGGTATGCTGTCATCCACAAGGAGTAGTTCTCTTATGCCTTTCTAGACTAGATAGGGGAGGAGAAAAATAGATACCCCTCAGAGATAAAAAGCCTAACAAGACACTTGATGTGTTATGCATGTCCATGCAGATACACACTTCAGACCATTCATGTTTTGTTTCACTTTTTTTTCCTTTTTATTTATTTTTTTATTTTTTAAATAACGTTACTGATTTCATATTATAATAATTATATGCAAATCATCAAGTGTCTATCACTCACATAGCATACTTGAAATCAAGAACAATTTAACTTATTAAGCTTTCAAACATAAAGCATGTAAAACAGAAAAAATCACAAAATTATTAATTTAATATTTTCTTTTGTCTAAAAATACCCCTTAAGACGTTAAAGAAATACTAAATCCCTTATCGAATTGTTGATAATTTCTTCTACACCATTCTTCTTTTCTTTCTATCATTTTCTCCATAAATCCCCCTCTTTCTCTTTCTCTCTCTAATTCTTGAAATGTGAAAGAATGGAAGTGTAGAGAAAATGAGAAGGAAATGCCCCTATTTATAGAAAATGAGAGCCATTGGATTTGCAACAAGTGGCGAAATCCAGTGAAGAGAGAGAGAAAAAATGCTTAGCACAAAAAATAAAGGAAAACCTCCTCCACTGGCGGCAACGCTAGGAGTGGCAGAACGCCGTCCGAGGTGGGTGGCAGTACAATGCCTGAGGCGATAATGGCCTCACCCGCTCGATGTGCTGCAGGGCTAGCCTGTATGCGCACAACTACATTGCCATGTGTGTAGGGCCTAGACGCGCTAGGCGCCACACACGTATGTAACACACACCCTATCACTGTGCTAAAATGATTTAGAAACTCTATTTATTCTAGTCTTTGGCCACCTTAAATTTAAATTAATTTACTCTATTCTCGAGATCCGTAATTTTGATCTATTTTATTTTTATTTTTTATTCATTTATTTTATTAATTTTATTAATTTAATTTAATTTATTTTAAATTATTTAATTTTATTTCAAAATAAAAATTTAGAAAAAAATTAGAAAATGGGAAAATGGGAGAAAACCTACTAGCAGGAAAAATCCCGCAAGAAAACAGTTTGCCCGCGTGGGTGCTGGGCACTCTGTGAGCACATGCACGCATAGTGGTCATGAGGCATACGCACAATGCACATGCCCCATCCACACGCCAACACATTCGGGACATGCGCACAATGTGCACATCCCCTCTGCACGCACGCACTGGACATGCGTATAGCACGCACGTCCCATCCACGCGCCCAGTGCAAGGTCAGGACCTGTGTGTGCGTCTTGTCGAGCTTAGGCGGGCCGTCTGCACGTCACTTTACGCATGGACTAGCGTCGTAAACTATGCATGTGACGTTTGTACAGTAGGCCTACACGTACAGGCCCTGTGGACCTAGGGCCTGCGCACAATAGGCTTGCACATGTGGCTCCTAGTGCAACTAGGCCTTGTGCGCACGGCAGGAGGCCTGTATGCCTACAGGCTAGCCTGTAGCGTGCCGGCCGGGCTCTACCACCTCGGCCAGTGCTCTGCCACTGCCTTAGGTAGCGCGCTGCTATCGCCGATGGAGGAAATTTTCCTCCCTCATTTTTTGAGTCAAGAATCTTTTTCTCCTCTCTCTTCACTGAATTTCACCACTCGACGTGAATCCAATAGTTCTGTAATTCTATAAATTTTCCTTCCCATTTCCTTCCTTTCCACACTACCATTTCTTCCATTTTTTAAAGATTTAGAGAGAGAGAGAGATAGTAAATTAGTGAGAGAAGAAGAGAAAGAAAGAAAAATGGTGGAGAAGAAAACATCAAGGTTTTAGCAAAGAATCTAGTATTACTTTCGACATCTTAAGGAGTATTTTTAGATAAAAAAATTTAATATAATTGTTATTTTGCTTGATTTGCATGCCTCTATATTCAAATGAGTTGAGTCGTTTTGATTTTCAAGCATGCTATGTGATTTACTGATACTTGATGAATTTTCATGTAATAAATATAATATGTAGTCCGTGATAATAAAAGAAAAATAAAAGAAAAAGAAAAAGAAAAAAGTAGAATGAAGCCTGTATGATCCGAAGTGTATCTATATTGACATACATATTGCATCGAGTGTCTCATTAGGCTTTTTATCTCTTAGGGGTATCTGTTCTCCTTGCTCTTCGGGGTATCTATTTCTACCTCGCCTATCTGGTCTGGAAAGACATAAGAGGACCATCCCTAGTGGATGATGGCGTGCCCTCTGATGAGAGTGGTATCGTACTATCTATAAGGGTCACCCATGGCTAAGTAATGTCGTGACTATAGACTATCTGTTAGGAACACTCTGGTTGGTACTGCTGTGGTCATAGATCGTACCATGGTTTGACCAACCAGAAGTGGGCCTGAGCAAATTTTCGTATCTGTATCTGATCTGTTCATTCCATTTGAGCAGTTGGAAATCTGTATTTGTATCTGCCCTTAGAGATGGAAGTTTGTAATGACTTCGCAAAGCATGACACGAAAAATCTATGCATTTTATGATTTATTTGATTTTCTCTATTATTTGGCATGATATATTTATATTTGATTTTTCTGTGCTAACGTACTATTTTGATACTCAAATAAATTATTTTTCCTAATGATGAGTTAGGTAAACGAGGAAGCTAAACAATAAGATAACATAATAAACTTTTGAAATATTATGATGTTAATTTAATATTGTTTTTCTTATTGAGCATATGGAACTGACTCTTTCCATCCCCCCCAGATGAGGAAAAAAATGAGGAACCGCAGGCAGACCTACCCTTGGAAGTCTATGAGGATCCCGTGGATCCACAAGTTTGAGTGCATGTCTATTCTCGCACTCTAGTGAATTTCATGTAACATAATGAAAGAAGTGGCCCTTATGTTTTTTATTTTGTAGCTAATTCTAGCCTCAATGATGTATGTATTTGGAACATTATATATATATATCTGTAAGGGATTTGTCAAGGTTTGATTCTGCTGCATAAATATTATCATGTATTTATTATTTTGGATCTGTATCTGATACCCATTTGTCTTAATTGGTACTTGGGATGTCACAGCGTAGTCCTAGTGCATGTGGGTCCAGGCGCGCAGGGGCCTATCCGTATAGGCCTGCTGAACGTACAGCGCGCGCTCAATATGCGATGCCTATTTGCGTGTGAGGTGACGCGCACAGGATTGACCTTGCGCCACGCACGCGAATGGGACCTGCCCACTATGCGCATGTCCTGCGCCAGCTGCGCATGCATGTGTGCGCACCCAGCGCTCATGCAAGCAACCCCTTCTCGCGAGAATTTCCAGTGAAATTTTCTTCCGTTCTCCATTTTTTGAAATTCGTTTATAAAAAATAAATAATTAAATTAAAACAAAATTAACTAAAATTAAATATCATTAAATGAAATTAAAATAAATAAAAATAGGCATAATTTATTTTATTCTGCAGCTTATTATCGTAATTTGTGAATTATGTTAATTTTATTTATTTTGATTTTATTTAATTTTATTAAATTTTAACTAATTTATTTTATTTTATTTTATTTTAGTCTAATTATTTTTTAAAAAAATAAATAAATTTCAAAAAAAGGAAAAATAAATTTTGCAAGTCCTATCCACGCGTGCGGTGCGAGGTCGACCGTGTACGCGTCTTGTCATGCGCAGGCGGGTTGTTCGCGCGGAAAGGTGCAGCACACTATGCCCACGCCATCCAAGCAACAAGCTTGCGTTGATAGGCCCCTGTGCGCAACACCCAGCACGTCGATCCCTGTGCGTGCGACAGGGTGGGCCCTGTGCCTCTAGGCTAGCCTGTAACAGCCGGTCCATCGTTGTGCTTAATTAATTCGAAAAATCCTATTTGTTCGAGCCTTTGGCCACATTAAACTCATTTAAATTACACCGCATATTATTTATTGTAATTTATAAATCTGGTTAATTTTTAATTATTTTGCTCTTATTAAATTTTATTAAATTTTAATTTTTATTATTTAATTTGCATTTTATTTTATTTAATTTAATTTTAAAAAACTAAAAAAATAAAAAAAACGGCAAAACGGGAAGAAATTTTGCAGGGAAGCAGAGCCACCTGTGCAGTTGTAGTGCATTGTGCACACGCGGATGCGTGGACAATAAACATGGGACGTGTGCATAGCGTGCACGTCCCCTCCACACGCACGCACGCACGAGATGTCTACACGGCGTAGGGACAGGTCCTGCACGCATCTTGTTGCGCATATGCAGATCATCTGCGTGTCACCTCCTGGGCGAAAAACAGGTGCCACACACTGTGCGTGCACCGTCCGTGCAGCCGACTTGCACGGATAGGCCCTGCAAGCTTGGGGCCTGCTCACGTAAGTGGAGGATTGTGTGCCTGCAGGTTAGCCTGCAACGCGCCGGTGTTGGCGGTGGAGGAGGCCCTCCTCCCTAGTTTTTTGTGCCGAACATCTTTTTCTCTTCTCTCTTCACCGAATTTCACCACTTGGCGCGAATCTGACGGTTCTAAAATTTTATAAATAGGCCTTCCCATCCCATTCTTCCCCACACTTCCATTCTTCCATTTTTCTAGACTTAGAGTGAGAAAAGGAGAGAGAGAGTAATCTAGTAAGAGAAGGAGGAAAAGAAAAGAGGAACGGTGAAGGAGAAAACATCAAGGTTTTGGTAAGGAATTTAGTATTTCTTTCGATGTCATAAGGGATATTTTTAGATAAAATAAAATTATTAAACATGATGATTATGATTTTGCCTACTTGTATGCCTTTGCATTCAGATAAGTCGAATTGTTCTTCTTTTCAAACATACTATGTGAATTATAGACACTTGATGAACTAAATGTAATAAAATATAATATGAAGTTGGTATTATTGCCTCGTAAAAATAAAAAATAAAAAGAAAAAAAAGAGAAAAGTGGAATGAAACATGAATGGTCTGAAATATATATCTGTATTGACATGCATATTGTATCAAGTGTCTCGTTAGACTTTTTATCTCTAAGGGGTATCTATTTCTCCTCCCACATCTAGTCTGGAAAGATGTAAGAGAATCGCCCCCAGTGGATGACGGCGTACCCTCTGACAAGAGTGGTGACGCAAATATCTATTAGTGGTCACCCTTGCCTAAGTACTGTCATGACTGTAGATATTTGATAGAGCCATTATGGTTGGGATAACCGTGATCGTAGATTATACCAAGGTTTGGCCAGCCGAAAATGGGCCTGAGCAAATTACCTTATCTGTATCTGATCTGGTCATTCCGCTTGGGTAGTTGAAAATCTGTATCTGCCTTCAAAGATAAAAGTTGTAATGACTTTGCAAAGTATGATACAAAAATTTGAGCATTTAATGATTTATTTGATTTTCTCTATTATCTAACATGACGTATGTTTGATTTGTTCATATTAATGTACTATTTTTTAATAAATAAATTATTTTTATAATGCAAGATTGGTCTATGAGGTGGCCAAATGATAAGTTTTTAAGTTAAAATAATTCACCTTTAAAACCTTACGATATTAATTTAATACTATTTTTCTTACTGAGCATATGGAACTTACTCTTTCCATGCCCTCCCCCCAAATGAGGAAAAAAATGAGGAACCACAGGCTGACCTACCTTTGAAAGTTTATGAAGATCCCGTAGATCCACAAAATTTGAGTACATGATTGTTTTCGCACTCTGATGAGTCTAATAGCATAGTGAAAGAAGTGACATTCTTTTGTGTTTTGTTTTTGTATTTTATAGCCACTTCAGGCCTTAGTTATATGTATATAATTGGAACTCATATATATATATTTGTAAGGAATTTGTATTAATTGTTTCGTTGCATAAAATTTTATCATGCACTCGTTATTTTGAATTAATATCTGATACCTATTTACCTTAATTAGCACTGGGATGTCACATATATCAGAGCAGAATAATTATATATCAAATCCTTACGCTGAGGCCTTAGGTAGAAAAAGCCCTTTAGAGTACCTAGAAAAAATAAGTCCTCTTTTAAAAACTAGACCACCAATTCATGTCTTCCTTTCTTTTGTAGGAACGACACGAGGAAGACCATTTGTAGAGCATATTGAGCGACCTAAAGCCCCGAATCACTTGACTAGGACTGAATTTGTCGAACTCTTTCGAGCTAACCAAGGATTAACTATAGCCGTAGGACAAAATCAAGCCAACCCTTGTCCAGCCCCTGCCCTCGAATTCCGAAACACTAAGAGATCCATTTTCCACAACATAGCAGAGTTTAGGAAACTTAACCCCCCACACTTTGAAGGTGGCCTTGATCCCTTAGTAGCCAAAGTCTGGATCCTACAGATAGAGAAGTTTTTCTCTATCCTAGACTTGACCGAGGAATAGAAAGTTTCCCTTATAGCCTTCATGCTAAACGACAAAGCAGAACACTGGTGGCGACTTAAAAAGGAAGTCTTACCTACCCCTACCATTTGGGAAGTTTTTGTGAATGCATTCTTTGATAACTTCTTCCCTACCTATGTTTAGGAAAAGAAGGAGGAGGAATTTCAGAACCTCCGCTAAGGGAGTCTGACGGTTGCCCAGTATGCAACCTGTTTTGTTTAATTGTCTAGGTTTGCCCCTCTAATGATCACCCCGAGAGCCGAAAATGTAGGAAGTTTCTCAAGGGCCTTTGTGCTAACATCTATGACAAAGTCGTAATGCTGAGACCCAACTCGTATTCAGAGGTTCTCGGACATGCCTAGTTGGCCAAATCTCATCTCAGCCAAGCACCGACGCATTGCCCGAGTCCACACCCAAGAACAACCTCAATAGCTTAGGAAGAGATTACCTGACCCAGTAAGTAGCCAACCTAATAAACGAACTAGAGTTGTCCTTCCCCTTGCTTTGTCTCCACCTACAGTTCAACCTGCCCAAGCTAACCAGACCTGTTAGCATTGTGGTTGATCGCATGGTGACCTACCCTGTCAACATATCAATAATGCAGGTTATTAGTTTGGAAGCACCCAACACCTTATAAAAAACTGCACCCAGCAACCAAAGGACCACCCGACCTATAGCACAAGGTCGTTTGTACCACTTGAATGAACTTGTGCTCTTCCTACTCCTATTTTTATTCAAGGTGTGTTTTCTATTCATGACACTTTTGTCAAGGCTCTGATCGATACAGGTGCTACTCACTCTTTTATTTTCGGTACATTTGCTTGTAATCTTGATTTTATACTAGGACCTTTGGCAGAAACATAATGGTAGAAACTCCCTCTAGGGAATTATTAGAGGCTCATTGTGTATATAAAGACTATAGGATAAAAGCTTCACGAATAGAGGTATTTGTAAATCTGATATTGTTAGATTTTGTAGGATTTAATGTGATATTAAGAATGGAATGGTTGGAAAAATATAGAGCTATAATCGATTGTGAAAGTAAAATTATAACTTTACAGTCCTCGAAAAAAGAATAAAATTTTTGTTATTATTTTTCCTAACCATTGAATGAATAGGAATATTAATTATTTTGTTTAAGCACAAACTTTAATCATGCAATCATTAATTTAAATTTTGTTAATTTTACTCTCGAAATGCTCCTTAGGATGTTTAAAAGTAAATACTAAATTTCTTACCAAAAACCTTGATGTTTTCTATGTCTTTTCTTCTTCTCCTCTTCTCCCTCTCTCTCTAAAGCTCTTGGAGGATGGAAGAATTGAAATGGAAGTGATGAGGATATGGTGAAGGGAGGGTCCCTATTTATAGAAAATGGGGATCGTTGGATTTTCACCAAGTGATGAAATCTAGTGAGGAGAGATAAAGTCAATTGGAAATGTGAGATATGACGACCAAAAGATGTGACCGACGGATGAAAAACACAATGTGATAGCAGCATGAAAACTAAAGGCACGCCACCCAAACGACAGCGGCACATAGTCTGCAGCACGCCAACTGGGGCACTGCGCTGCCTCGGGTGGTGCACCGCCGCTGCTGATGGAGGAGG